TAACAGCTGAGGCCAGCAGGGATCTACCCTGCTGGCCCACAGTCATTAGCTCTTCTACAGAATGCTCCAAAAGCTGCTCTGCCAATGGACGCCAAATAACCCAGCCATCAACTCCATCACACACACAAAGAGCTTATATTCATACCATAGTAGATGAACTGCTCCTTTCAACCGTTCAACACCTTGCGTCCTCGTCTGTACAAACACGTTGCATATGACAACATCGGTAGTTTCTTCTCCATTTATTACAAACACAGTATTCCATTTCCAACAGGGACAAGATCATATAGAAAAAAACAGTTTAAAAATAAAAAAAGCAATAATGTAAAGTTATCATAACAACTATGATAAAGACAATTCATGTTACTTTTAAGAAAGGGGGTTGGGGTACCGTTTTTTTTAAGAATGCTGTAGTCATATGACATGCTGTCCTGTCTTCAGGCTGGATAAGATTAAGAGCTGCACTGCAGTGTCTGTAACTACTGAGGTATTGCTCCTGTGAACTTGTGTTTTTGCATTAAATGCACGGCTGACACGACTAGTACAAGCGCTTACTCCAATTGTCATACACATAGGTAAAAAGTACAGCCTTCAGCGAGTATAAATAATTTGTTACGACTTAAGATGTGTACAACATATTTACAACTAGAGATGTCCATATATCCCAAACAAAGATTGTCACAGTAAATACGGTTCTATTAGAACCTTCACAAAACCCACATTAGACAATGGTATAAAAATAAGTTAAAAATCTGCATAAATATTTTACACAAAACAGTTATAAAATATGCGTTTTTTTCTGACAAGTTACACAAAACAGTTTTTACAACATTGGGTATTAAGTATTATTTCAGTTTGATGCTTTAAAAAAACCACATTCATTTAAGTTGTTGATAAACAAAACTTTAGAAAAAAGTGTTGTCAGCGATTACATCACCCTCGGCTACGACAGTCATTTCAGATATACAAAATTCAAAAAGGGAAGAGTAGGAGAACTGCAGCATTGCCAAGTTATACTTCCTTTAAATCGCCAGTTCAATCCTCCCGTTCAGCCGAGACAGATGAAGAGTGTCCCATCCCATATAGATAACTTCCTATGAACAAGCTTCTCCTTAAGTATCAAGTCCACAGAGGAGTCCTTACAGGCTGAGCATAAAGACAGGAGAAAGAGACAGAGAGGATGAGACGCTCTCAGTGTGGCATCAGAGAGATCAAGGTTTGAGGAATGGGCTTCATGCTGGGGTTTCTGACATTGAGCCGACGTCCTTTGTCGACACATTACTGTGAATTTTAGAGCTTTTACTTGACTAAACTGCTGAGGTCAATTAAAGAAATAATGAACAAAAACCAAGAATTACCTCGTGCATAAGTGAAAACAGGCGATGCCAAGGGTTGTGGCTCCAAAATGGCCCATTTCCCAATTAATTAGCTTCACAGTACACAGGAACAGTGACACCGTGGGCGATGAGTAATCATCTACAATGAAGTCTCACCACAACGCAGAGCCAGGACCACGGGTAATACTGTGATTGCACAAACATTACCATAACATCAAGGCATCGTCTTCATTTGATCTACTAAATAGCACAAAGACTGTAGTGATTTTTAAAGTGTCCGGTGCTACAGTAACGACATGTGGGCTTTATGGTTGAGGCTACAATCAAGAATTCAGCAGCACTCTGTTTTATCTCTATATAAAGACGAACAGAACTATGAAGCTCTAAAGCTTTGCAGGGATGTTAAAAAAAAAGATATACTCTTCTTATGCATCAATATAGCTGTTTGTCTTTATATCTGTGTCTACACAAATGCTTCTGTTAATCGAGATGTTTTATTTAGTCATTTATTTTAGTCAATTAGTCAGAAATTCAATAGTTTATAATATTCAAATTATACTTATATATATAATTTGTATAAGGTATATGAAAGTATATGTCTATATCTAGACCATTTAGTGTTTAAACCAAACGAACAGTATGGTGCTGTGTGTGTAGAATCCATTGATGTCTAAGGATATCAAGTTTACATCAATTGACATTCATCTACAGTATATGACACACACACATGTGGAATTGCTTCAGCTTACCTGCGTTTCAGACGTTTCTGAGGAAGTGCTCTAAAAAAGAAAAAGAAAAAAAATAGTGAGGCCATTTGGCAAAGAGACTCTTTGATGTGATCATGTTTTCGAGCTGACTTTTGAGCCACAACATGAAAACACTGCTGGGAACATAACAATCCGAAGAGGCCACCATTGTCAGTCGCTTTCTGACCATCCCATTTACACATAGAGGTGTTCAAGTACCCTACTATATTAACTGCCACAGGCACCAAGCACCTCATTTGTTGGGGACATTTCATGCATTAGGACAACCTTGACATGGACTGGCTGAGTGCTGACGGTTATATTCACTGTGAAACCAGAGTCCAGCAGCAGCCCCTGCATTTACTGAGCCTTCAGGTCCAATTAAAATCAGCCAGCCTGTCTGCTGATCAGCACACTAGTGAGCCATATATCTCCTGTAAGAAGACCAATCTGTTATTTTGGGCACATTGTTCTGCTTTCAGGGTGCATTTGTAGTCTTTTGTGGTATACTATAAAGAAACCCATTTTTGTCCTCTCAGTGATTTTTTTTTCCCCAAGCCTGCCAGGATTCAAGTTACTGCTTAGATTATATTTTTCAGGAGGTATAGGCTGTGGAGTCACATTTTCTGTGGAGTTAATTTTCTGGTTAAAAAATATATACTGTTATAAGTTCTATTAAGCTCTATTTTTTTTATTGCATCACATACTCAAATTAACCTTGTTTTTATTATATTCATAGCTTGAATTTCCCAAAAGATAATATAACTCTTGTATATAATAATCAGGCCTTTATTATTATAGCCAAAATATGCTGACAAATACAATGAAATCTTGTTACAGGAGATGAATGACATTCCTGTCATAACTTGATTTTTTAAACAAATAGTTGCAGCCAGGAGTTGCTGCCCCCTGGTGGAACAAAGTGATAGTGATGCTGCACACGCTGAAAAACAGGTGTGAGGGCAGAGGCAAGCGATTGCAATCACTTTGTTGTGGCACCCATATATTCACACAATTAGTTATTCTAAGGGATAGGTGATATTGACACATGGGCCATGTGTGTGGCTGAGAGAAAATACGTTATTTAATCAATGTTTGTTTGTGTATCTGTGAATGTGCAAAACGAGGCCAATAGCATCATCATCACTCACCTGTAGATGTTGGGGTCAAGCTGCATGGCTGTGTCGTGCGGTAACTGGGACAAGTGCACCACTTTGGTCTTCAGCCCAGACCTTTCCGTTTCATTCACCCACACGTCAGGTAGTCTGCAAGAGAACACACACACACGTATAGAGAGATGTGGTCAAGGTTTGAGCACAGATGAGAAAGATGGAGAGAAAAGGGGGGATAGAGTGAGGGGAAGGTTGAATGGATCCAGGTGAGAGATGAACAAAGAGCCTCATTGAGTCCAGCACACATGTTAACACCTCCCTCTGAACACCACTGAGTACATTTCCATAAGTAACATGGCCTTGACCAAAGCCTGACACAAATGCACATGGGTGGGTTCACAGATCTGCACACAGACAAAAACAGGAACAGGGGAGAAGCGTATTGTCTTCCAATGTCAATGATTTAAAAAACAAACGTCTACACCATCTTCAAAAAGGTTTTTGCTCACTGTTAATACATCTTAATAAAACAAAGGGGCTGCCAGGGAAAGACTTTGTTTGTGTTGTGTTTTCATGCATGTGAGAGTGTGTTCTTGTGTTTTAGAAATGATCCATCACGAGCTGGTTGTCCTCATTGCAGCAGCAGCAGGTCAAACCCACTGCCCTTCTTTGAAGCCTGCATTACCATGCCTCTAAGGCTGTCAATGTCTAGTATGGACAAAATATCTCCATAATTCTTTTGAAAAAAAAAAAAGAAGCCTGCATGCATATGTGTTTTGTGTGGTGCAAATGATCCTTGTGAGATCATTTGGAGCATTCGTTTGAAAAAAAGATGCTAGGCACTTTAAATCAGAACAGCTTGGTTTTTTCATGTCTTTAAGCTGCAGGGTAGGGACTTGATGTCTTTGAGTGACAGGCACCAACACACATGTGCACATGGTGTACTGTACGGCTCAGCTGCACCTTACTGTACAGTTTGATCCCCTGTGAAAGAAGGGAGTGTGTGAGAGCACTGGCGTGGCAAGTCGAGGTGCAGAGGAAACAAAGAGCTTAGCGAGTCGAGTGTGCCTCCCCTCCTCCATCAAGCACCCCACCCCACCTCCCACCCCCCTGTCTCCACCCCCAGCATTCCCCGTCACTACGTGCGTCATCACAGGAGCCCCCAGACGCAAACATACACGCATGCATTTACACGACGCACACACACACACACACACACCACACACACACACACACACACACACACACACACACACACACACACACACACACACACACACACACACACACACACACACACACCACACACACAGCACTGCCTCAGCAGCCTGGCATGCTGTTTAGCTCCGCCCACTGCTTCACCCACTGGATATCCGCTCAGCTTAGGAGTCAAAGTTGAAAGGAGGAGGTCGCAGGAGGACATCACTGACATCTCTCCCTTTCCTCCTTCCACGTAAAATATCACTGGACCTTCAGCGAGCAGGTGACAAGAACACAATTCCCTTCTCTGACTCACAAACACACACACCAACCTGAGCTCTGTGTTGAAGAGAGCGAAGACGAACTTCTCGACATGAAGCTTTTCTCTACGTCTCTGAGCTTTAAGTTTGTCCAGAGGGAGCATGTACTTCTTCTCCTTTTCCTGAGAACACACAGAGATACGTCTGACACAGGTATGCAGGGTGAAATATGACATCACACAGAGTAACACAGGTGCGGAGAGCAAAAAACAAATCAAACACCTAACACTCAGGGGGCTGCAGTTGAAATATACGGCTAATATTATAATAATGGAGCTGCCAAAAGGGTTTCAGCTGCAGAAAAGAAATGTCAGCGGGAGAGCATCTGAGTTCATATCAGACGACGTGTCGGCCCGTCACACTGACTCACATTATCTACAGACCAACCAGCAGGGGAGGACGAGGAGGGGAGATGCCATAAGTCTCCAGCCTGTCATCACCACGGGGACTCATGAACGACAGAGAGCGTTTGGAGGAGACGCAGACAGTGAGGAGGCCGAGTAAGGAGGAGGCGAGCAGGGAGAGAGGGAAGGGAGGGAGGCTCACATGTGAAAGTCATTACTCAGACTCAAACTCTAACACAACATTTCTCCTAAGTGAGCCCTCCCCCCCTCAAATCTTTGCTCTACGGCTGCTCCTTGCGCTGCACTCTGAGGAGGGGGCTTCAGGAGAGATTTGAAAAACATAAACGGAGGAAAGGTTGTCAAAATGTTAAATACTCTTTGATACTACATGTTTTAAAACGGTAAGGTTTCTGTTATTTTTAACGATCAATCATCAAAAAGTACTGAAGCTTTAAGAAATCTTCAGATCTCATATTTTTAACCAAAAGAGAGATAGCGCTGTCTAAATTGCAAAAATATGTTGACAGTGTGCAGGAGTTGCAATTTCTTGTAAATTTCTTGTAAAACACTGCAAATGTTATTGTGCAATTTTGACAGGAAAATTACGAAATTTTTGGTGTCCAGGACCTCAATTTTTTTTTGCTGTATCCAATCAGGTATTGATATCATTAGATTTTTACTAGAATCATATTGGAGTTTGAAAATCTGGTACTATGACAGCCTTAAAGGAGGAGGTGCAGAGCGGGAAAATTTGAAACAGGAAGAAATGCCTGCAAAAGAGGATGTCCAAAACGCCCTGCATGTTGTCTGTGTGTGTGTGTGTGTGTTTGCGCATGTGTGTCAGTCTTCCCTCTGTCTGTGCTCCCTGAACCTACGACTCTCTTCCTTCATTCTCTTTCCTTTTTTCCAAAGGGGCCCACTTCCTGTAAGAGAGGCTCAAAAAAAATGACAGAACGGGATTGGCGCTCTTACGGCAACATCTGGGATCGCTTTGGACGAAAGGGGAGGAGTATGGGCAGGGGGGGGGGGGGGCAGGGTGCTGTGATGGGGTAGAAATAGAAAGTAGAGATGAAGAAAGAGAAAGAGGAGGGATATAGGTGGATAGAGGAGAGGAGCACGAGAGATCATGCAGGAGAAACTGGAGGAAACTGCACACTAGTCCAAAGTTGAGTCCCCATGGGTCCCATCAACCCATATATGGTGGCTCAGTCCTCCCTGACTCTCTCTCCTTACTTCACTCCCCAAGTCTCCTCACGCCTTCCCTGAGTGAGCGCGCAGATCCTGAACCGAATGAGTGAAAGTGCCACGTCAAGACTGGATACTACGCCGGACACAGCGCTGGACGCTCGACTCTACAAACACCAACATCTCAGCAAGAGGGACACCCACAGGAGAAGACGTCTGTTGTGGGCAAGACCCCTCGACCAAGACCCAACACTGACACGGGATAAAATAAAGAAGAAAATAAAAGCGGAAAACTTTTCCAGACTCTCCTCCGCCTCATGCAGGACAAGAACCTGAGTGGGAGAAGACGAGGCCGGCTGGAGAATCAGAGTCCTGCTCCGTCATCCCAGTGTTCAGACTACCTGTTCAGGATCTTACTGGTGTACAGTAGTCTGCACATTGGTTAGATTGTGCAAGGAAGAACTTCAAGAACCTGCATGTACTCTTCAATCTACAACTCTCATGAGCGCATGAACGCAATAGGCACAGACGCATAAAACTTAATGCATGCTCTTTCGCCGCCTTCACCATCCAAAATGCATCACTAACTCCCATCTTTGTCCTGCGTAGTGACATCTGTTTGAATCATTTATCTTTGTTTGCATTCAGGACGAGAAGTGCTCATGCAGAAAATTTGATCCTGAGTTGGAAATTTATTTTAACATGTAGGACTGAAATATTTCAAACCTGCTTCTTTTACACACATTTATTTTCAGAAAACGTCTGGCTTAAGTTTTTCAGGGTGCATCAAACTTGGCAGTTAGGATTTCTGCATGTGCATCTGTGTGATTGTGCGTACAGTTGAGTTAATGTGGGTGTCTCAGGGTGGTGTTGAAGCATTGTAGATCAGATCTGCTGTTTTAATCTAATGGATGTGAATGTGGTTCAGGCCTCACACACACACACACACACACACACACACACACACACACACACACACAGACTCACACAGACTGAGTGTGTAGGCATGAGCCATCTGTTTTTCTTCAGCTCTGGCAGTGGAGGGGTGCAGGAATGTATGTCTGCTCAGTGTGCTCTGGACGTTAAACTCTGAACTGTTATTCTGCTCTCTCAGCGTGAGGTCAGCGTGAGTGGAGAGGAGACGCAGTGCACGAGCTTAAAGATGGTAAAACGACAGGAGAAGACAAAGAGATGGAGAGAAGTAGTTTGATATGGGAGTAATAGTCAGAGAGACTGTGGAGGAGGAGAGAGGGGGAGGTCTGTAGCGTAGAAACAGCCATGTGGGATTTCTCTGGGCAGATCTTGGAAGCTGGTGTTTGGACAAAGCTTCAGATTTTCCAGCCAGGAATGTGCAGAGTCCCAGGGAGACTGCCAACCACAGAGAGAGAGAAGGGGAGAGAGGGGGAGAGAGGGGGGAGACATAGAGAGAGAGAGGGGGGAGAAAAAGGCAAGAGGAAAGGCAAAGGAGTTTAAAAAAAATAAAATAAAAAAGGGGAGGCGGTGATAAAAAAAAAAGAGAAGGAAAGCGGGAAAAAGGGAGAAGAAGTGTGTGAGTGTTCACTTCATGAGAGATGATGAGATGATGATAAAGACACATCACATCTGATCATCTGTAATCACACGGCTCACTGACTCTGCGCTCAGGCCTCTGATCAGCTGATAAACCTTTCAGTGACGAGGTTAAACCACGACGAGTCCAAAAACCTTAGACTTCAAGTGTTGTGAAACATTTGTGAGTCATAATGATCCCAAGTATCGCTCTGATGTGGCCGCAACGTTATTTACACGTCTGTCTGTGTGGCGTTTATCACATGTGTTAAATATATGTGTGTGTGTGTGTGTGTGTGTGTGAGCTGATTTGTTCAACTATAACAATGTGTGTGTATGCCTGAGGCTGTGTGGTTAAACCATCCAGTGTTTATGTGCAGTGTGTGTTTGTGTGTAACTGTATATTTGTCTCCACCATTTGTTTATATCTGACTCTGCATGAGTACGTACACTGTATATACCAGTCTCTCAAACTGTTTGTGTGTGTGTGTGTGTGTGTGTGTGTGTGTGTGTGTGTGTGTGTGTGTGTGTGTGTGTGTGTGTGTGTGTTAGTTTGGCTTGGGGCAGCTCCAGCTGTGTCAGAGTGAGCCGC